CTCCAAAAGGCGCCAGAACATCTCGGATCACCAAATTCGCTGGAAACTTGTCTTCAGAGGTAGTTTGACCCGTAGAATACGAATAAATTATTAGTTCGTTGCGTGTGAGCTTGTAGCCTGCGCTACGGGCGGCGGCGCGAAACTAATGTGATAGCGCCAGCAAGCGCGAAGGGTTCTTGCGCCAAACTGATGTCATATTCGGGCTCTATGTGGAATACGCCTAGTTCTAACCGAATCCTTAGTCGAGGGCAATTTTCGATTACAATCGGACTCAGTTTTTGAGGGAGGCAGGCAGTAAAGGGTAAATAGTGCCATCGCTTTTGTTGTTTGTTGTTCTAAAAGCTCTTGGAGGCATCCCATTGGAAGTGGGAAAGCCATGAGCGGACGAAAGCATTCTGCCGAACTGAGGTTTCAGTTTTGTTTTGCATTCATACATATTGCTTCTCTCCGCGCCTATCTCTCTCCGCTATCACGGGCTACGTGGCGTTTTTTGACCATTTGCAGGAAAACCACACCCATCTCTCGGAACTCGCGTGATGTCTAACGCTCTCTCACCCCTATCAGCCATAGCGGAGATCTTTCTGAGCGCCGAAGATCTCGATCACCTTTCATGACACCGCGATGGAATTGCGCGTGTTATGCAATGCAGTCGATAACATTCTGTTTTTATTCGCAACAACTTCAGAAAACAGCTTTTCTGCTAGGAATTGATGATATTTTGCGTTTTTTGACATTCATTCACTCACTCTTCCTGCAACTTCGTTGAAACATAGCCGGTTTTTTTTTGGTGTTTTGAAACGCGCCACCTTAGCGAAGTTCGAGGAATTGAATGCTTCAAGTTTGGAAGAAAATCTCTTCAGCCACTTCTGAAGGAAAATCTCTTCATCTATCAATATTATTGGGCAAAAGGGGTTCAGTGACAGCTGGCGCTGCCTAAAACCTTACGGTCCCAGTATCGAACCCTGAATCATACGCCATTCAGGCCACCCGAGGTCGGCTTACTGATACCAGACTTGTCTGGAAGGATAAAACCACTGACCATCGGCTGTCCCCGCAAGTCCTTAGGTTGAATCGCATTCAGAACCCCTCTGCGATTTTGAATGAAAGTAGAATGTATGGCACATTCCAAAAACGGTTTCTCAACCAACAATTATTCAGCGCTATCGCAAGATACGGGGGCATGTGGTAACAGTCCTTGAAATCGCGTAAAACAACTCCTTTCTGTTGAAAGCGGGACAACGCCTTAGGCGAAGGAGGAAAGTTTTCGGAATGCGTTAACAACTTTCGTTTTCTCCGAAATCCTGCCCTCGCCCGGCTAAGTCCTAGGGGATGTCCATGTGTGCTGCGGTAGCTACAACTATTCTATATCCCTTCCTTCGATTTTCTTGGGAGTTAGCGCAGCGGTTGGAGTAATAGCGCCGAACGTGGGGGCACGAACCCATCTTGGGGACCCTTTTCAATCTGGTAGGGCTGACCTAAGTGCCGAAGGGTATCCGGTGTTCTAGAGAACAATATCACAGGCGCTAACTGAAGAGCGCAGATCGTACTCGAAGTTTGGTATTCTTCAAGCCGCCCTACGTTGGATTATGGAATGAAAACCGAATGCGTGGCGCATCCCAAGCGCTTCGTCATCCACCTTTTTCTTATTCCTTGCTCTTAATCATTTTTCTTCTTTTTTTGATTTGGTTGTATTGCGTGTGGTATTGATGTCAACTTCGCTTTTCATCTGTAACGGTGGCCTATCTCTTGAGGATTGGTAAACAAAGAAACAAATAAACAAGTTACCAGTGACGAGTACACGGAGCACCCGAGTAAAGTGTAGCCAAGTTCGACTTTACCAGTACAAGATGAGAATTGACGTGGGAGTGGCCGTGGCCACAAACTACAGCTACGGTCTGGCGGTTCGTCACCGCCCCTTGCACCCTCTCCCGTCACCGTGCTATTACCCGATTCGCATGACGTTTTTCTTACACTGATCGTCCGTATAAAAGCGTCTTTCCGGCAGCATTCTGCAATACCATTCACTATCAGAGTTTTTTCGCAGACACCTGCATCAGACACCTCACGCAGTTGTTCACCTTCAACGTCGTATCGAACTGCTCAGACAATCATGAAAATCCGCGGCAGGGGTAAGTTTCGTCGTGAGACGTTGACCCTTCGCTTTGACATTGACCGTCTGCTGATTTCTTGATTTCAGCTCGAATCTCGAGTCTTGCCCTCGGTAAGAGTGGAATTCTCGCCCAGAAAACAGCAAACACCGGATGTGTTGTGAAAACCAACTACGGACTGATTCAAGGCAAACGCTACGAGACCAAGAACGGTTGTAAAGCCGACTGCTTCCTTGGTGTGCCTTATGCGAAGCCGCCTGTCGGAGAACTGCGTTTCAAAGTGAGTGCATTCATATAAAGGTTTTCTTGGTCGAGGACAAAGTCGCGCATTCCGCTTTTCCATTGCTTCTCTCCAGCCGAAAAAACGGCCTAGCTCATGACTTGGCGTCCAGTTCAGAAGACGCAGTTTTCTTTCATCTTGACCGCTCCGACGGTCATTTGGCCCGCTGCGAACATCATCAGGTACAAAGATGAAGAACCAGAAAACACGCCATTGACCTCATTTGGCCCGCTGCGAACATCATCAGGTACAAAGATGAAGAACCAAAAACCCAGTGAACATTTGTTACAAATTTTTGCACCCGGAAAAGTGTTGGTCACTCGTTTTGGACTGGTTCGGGTGGACTTGAAAGAGAATAGAGTCAAAAGATGAAAGCCATGACCGTAGAGATTAGTGCAGACGCCATCGCCATTTCCTAATTGTTTATCGCTCAACAGCTGTGTTTATTGAAAAAGTACGTGACCGACCATGTGCCGTCCTTGAGACTGCTGAGAATAGGGGCTGAACCTGTTTAGGAGTCTATTGTAGATATGACCACGAAAAAAACTCTCCAACTCCCCAACACATTGTCTCTAATCGACGGGGACTGAAATAGGATGTCTAACTCTGTGCGGTTGTTCAGTGGAGACACATGGCATAGATGGGCTAATGTAAGTGACCTCACAGAACACGTACAAGGGTTCAGAGGTCAATTCCAGATTGTCATGTTAATCAGTCAAACCCTCCATCCTCCAAGGTCCGTCATTGGCTTCGGGTTTTTCTGAGGGTACAAAAGCACTGACTTGTGCATCGGCTGACGAGCACAAGCTAGTGTGTTATCTAAGTTGCATTCGAATGACACCACGATCCTGAATGGGAGCAGAACGCACGGCGCACGCCAGAAGGAACTGCTCAATGCTTCATTGAACAGCGCAGCTGCTTTATATCTAACTTTTAAATCATAGCCTCGGAGTTGCTTAACTCGCCAGTGTCCTTTAGATGGAAATGGGACGCACGGCGTATTCCAGAACTGAATTGATCACGCCGAATCGGTCAGGGCCGCTGTTCCTTCCTTAACCCTTTCAATCACAGTTTCGAACTTACCAGGCTAATCTCTACGATCCCTTATGGAAGTAGGGTGCGTGGCGCATTTCAGAAAGGTGTTCATCAGGGCCGCTGATTGTCATTTGTACTTTTTACAGTAATATGAAGTTACTCAAGGAACCGGTAGGTGGTAGTTCGCTGAAGGGTTCTGCCTTGGTAGCGGTCACACCCTAACGCTAAGCAAACAAAAAGGGTGAAAAAGTTTTTGAAAGGGAGCCGGACGTTCTGCACTAATGGCTGACCACGTTAGGGTATCTCATTCAGCTGTTTGGCGAATAATCGGACAGATTGGGTCAATGTGGACGACTAAAAACCTACTAGAACGGTAATGCTTTCAGAAACCGCAACGTATGGAGCCATGGGAAGGAGTGAAGAGATGTCGTCAATTCGGGAATCGCTCCATTCAGGAAGACATGCTCTGGGACAAGTTCACCATTTTCACCCCACAAAGCGAAGATTGCCTCTATCTAAACATCTTCGCCCCTGCGATTGATCCAACAAAGGTATGTTTGGGAACATACGGAGGCGAAGAAGTCCTGGTTGAGCCCTGCTTGTTGTATCACTTAATGGAGGGTACATTTCAGAGCTACCCGGTGATGTTCTACATCCATGGAGGTGGCTTCATGATGGATTCCGCTGTGCGATACAAGCCTGAGAATATGGCACGGTGCGTTCTTTTTCGTCTTAGGACCTATATTTTCATAAATGACGTATTTTTCAGATTGATCGTAAGCCAAGAAGTTATCATCGTCACCATTCAGTACCGGCTTGGTTACCTGGGCTATTTTTGCACGGGGGACGGTGTCGCCAAAGGCAACTACGGTCTTTGGGATCAGCTTGAGGTGAATACTCCCCAAATGCTTCTCTGACCTTCAATCACTAGATTATAATGTTCCCTTTGGGCGCTCCCGTACAGTAACCCTACACGCGAAAAATTAATCGTCATCTTCGATGTTATTGATGCACGCACACACAAGGTACCCTACCACACGCGCAAACTAGGCTCTTGACTCAGAAGAGCTTGAAGGGCAGAATAGTATTGCCGGAAAGTAAGGGGTCTTCGTCGAGGAGCACGTCAATCCCCTGCAGCCAAGAGACTTGAGCAATATGTTTCTCACAGTGTAAACATGTTGTAGATGGACTTGTATATGCGCAAATTTGGTTCCTATTTGATCTAGACTAATTGATCGCCTCTTTACATTGATAGAAAACCCTCCAGCCTAAGCTCGGTTGTTGCCGAGAAATTAAGTAATTCGGGTCATAAATTATTTCATTGTACAAGGCCTTCGTGCATCTTATCAATACGAACAGAATGCAAGTTCCAGATAATCTTGCTTCGTAACAAAATAAGCCTTCGAAACTTAATGAGCTTTCTGACAAAATCTCAGCTAGAAAAACAGATCGAAATTCATGGGCTCAAATACCCAGCACATTTTGGAGAACAATTGGTTTCTTTTGCTTGAAGAGGCCCGGACCTTCCTCTTCC